CAAGAGATACAGATGTGACTGGGGGAAAGCAGGCTGCATCCACTATGTCCTCAGTTGCCCTGGTGGTCAATGTCTGATGTCATGTGTGGCCACTTCTTCTGCCTCCTTTTCCCCTGCAGGCTCCTGTTTTTATGTGAGGCTATGCACAGCAGACCTTTCCTCACATGAATGGGTTGTGTATCAATCCTGAATAATCACTGAAGTAAAGGCTGAGACCCATCAAACTGTTTTGAGTGGAACCACAAAGATGTCTGGCCAAGAAGTAAGACACCGAGTGTGGCGGACAGTGTTCTGCCTGCAGTTTTCAGCAGTCCGGAGCTGGCAATTGCAGGTGCAAAGCAGTGTGGTGCTGCAGGCATGTAGAGTGTCTAGATCTTTAAAGACTGATTTTCACATTTTGCGTTAGAAAAAACTACTTTTAACGGTGGCAAATTCGCTCTTGTCTACCCAGAGCACACTAAACTTCATGCTCACATCTAAGCAGAATAAGGCACAGAAAAATTTCACTTGAAGATCTAGACACTCTACAGGCCTGCAGTACCACCAGTCTATGAAGATCTTTGCATTAGTCCTAACACTATATCAAATTGAAAAGAAAATGCAGACTGCTGAGGCTATTTTTCACCTCAGAGCAGACTTTTTTCTGCAACAAGATTTCACTACACCTCTGGTGCACAGAGAGCAGAATGCAGCAGGGGACCCTATGGAGAAGTTCTGTTGCTGGGTTGTTGGGTTTTTTTCCTCCTGTTTTGGGGAGATGGATTTGTGAAAGCAGGTCAGACAAAGCTTGGGGCTATGTGGCTTGTTGCAAGTGTGAACTTTGATTTCCTTCCCCTTCGCTCTTACCAGTAGGTCTCAGGGGAATATATTCTTTAGCAGAATAACTACAATTACTTAATTGTCTGCTTAACTATAGCTTTGAGATTTTCTATGCCTATAAGTATCTCTCTTTCTTGTACAGCATGTATTGGCACATCATCCTCTGTCCCTTCCTGGGAAGTATATTTGGGAATCGTGGCAATAGTCAAAAAAGGTTTTGAAAGATAATTTTTATGCAGGTGTTGAGGTAGGGCTGCTGTAGTAACTTGTTTTCATACCAAATACTGTGTTCTGTCCTCATACAGGCATAGAGCATACACATACACAGAGAACTAAACCCATGTACTCTCAGACTGACTCTCTAGATGGCACCTTTACTCTTTCTCATACTCTTCCATCCCCTTTTGGGTGTCCCTGCCTGGATGTTGGCTGCAGCACCAACTACGCAATGATGGTGGAGGTGATGGATCCTGCTGACTGACTACAGAGCCATGTGCCAATGATGCTGACAGGGCCTCTTGCTAAAGGTCTGAGTTGAGGCATGCTTTGACTCCCCTCAAAACCACAGCTTGTTTTCGTCAGTTCAGTTTGGCAGGAAGAGAGGAAAATCCTAGCATCGTTTGCTGTTTGGTTGCACCAGGAGAAAACCCCAAGCAGGAACATAAATACAGTGAGCGGTAGTAGGCATATGACTGTTGGTGGGACTTAGTCATCTCCCTGACGCTCTTTGGATTTAGCCATCTGGCTCTGGCACTGCTTAGGCCTGTCAGCTGAAGGTGACAGTGTCAAAGCCAGGAGTCTGTGAATGTCCCCTTGGAGCTTTGCCTGGCCAGCTGGCAGCATATATCATCAGCCAAGCCGCCTCTTCGTCCACAACCTTGGACATGTCAGACAACACATATAGACATGCCTTCCCACCCCCAGTGAGGGAAGTGGATTTCAGCCCCATCTAAGCCCCCATAACAGAAACAAAAGGTTTCAGTCTTTCTTTCTGGCACTACAGGAGGAAATAAAAATCTTTTCCTCCTTTTTATTTTCTTTTTTAATTCTTTTTCCCTTCCATAGTGGTCCCCACTAGGATGGCCACATTCATGCCCATTGGAGGTCACATCTTATAGCAAGATGAAGCCAACTCATTCTGGTCTGGAATTTTATAATGGAGAGGGGAGAACAGGAAGAGGGGGATCCTACCAAGCAGTATCGACCCCAGCAAGAAAAAGGTTAGAAGTAGATTGAGGTTTGTCTACATTAGGACAATGAGGGCTGTTCACTCACATGTGCTTCTTTCTAGCTTCTTCCAGTAATGCCACACTCCCGTTTATCGTTGAAGTGATACTGACCTTTTCCATTCCTGTCATCCTCTCATCCATATGCCAACAAACCTCCCACCAGTTTGGATGACAGAGGTCTTTTAGGCTCAGCTCCCTTCAAAACAAGCCAGTCCCTGACTGCCTCTGGGATGCAGCCCCTCTGCCAGGGTGGTATTTTGAATGCTGTGTTAGTAAACTACAGTTAATCTGTACTGCTTTTTTTAATCCACACCCTACACTCGTGATGTCTTTAACACTGATGGAGAAATAGCGTTTTCCCACACACAAATGGAGAATAGGTACCACAAAGTGTCACAAGGACTAAGTTGATTCATAAAGCAATAGCTTTAGGTAAAACCTGAACATTTAAAAACTTAAAAGATGCATGTGTCCTCTTTTCTATCAGTGTATAACAACTGTTTATAAAAGGTTGTTGACAATCTTACGCCGCACTAGTAACTTTTATACTGTGAGGGCTTTTACTTGCTGATGAACTTGATGAGCAGTACTTCAGTAATCCTGCCATAAGAGACTCTTCTTCGAGTTCTTACAATATAAACCTTCTGCATTAATCTGAATTATCACATGCCATACAGCCTGAGTTGACTCCATATCATGCTACCTGAATTTTAGAATTCTAAAATGGTTTGGGTGGAAGGGAACTTAAGATCATCTAGTTCCAACCCCCTGCCATGGGCAGGGACACCTTCCACTAGACCAGGTTGCTCAAAGCCCCATCCTTGCCTTGAACACTGCCAGGGGTGAAGCAGCCACAGCTTCCCTGGGCAACCTGTTCCAGTGTCTCACCACCCCCACAGTGAAGAATTTCTTCCTAATATCTAATGTCCTAATATCTAAAATCTCACCTCTTTCAGTTTAAAGCCATTCTTCGTTGTTCTATCACTACTTGCTCTTACAAAAAGTCTCTATCCAAACTTCATGTAAGGCCCCCTTTAGGTACTGAAAGCTGCTTTAAGGTTGCCCCAGAGCCTTCTCTTCTCCAGGCTGAACAAGCTCAACTCTCTCAGCCTGTCTTCAGGAGAGGTGCTCCAGCCCTCTGATCATTTATTAAAGAGTCTTAGGACTGCTAGGAAGGTATTTTGTGTGAAATGGATGATGTTTGTTACATCTTCCAAATAAACTTAACAATCAATACTCCAAGCATAAATTACTAAGCAAGAATCGGAAGCAAAGGATGATGAGATCTTACACAGTTGAGAGTAACCAAAATCAGAAGTTTCTTCAACAGATAAGACTTTTGCCACCTTCTAATCTTTTACTTTTTATGCCTGATGCATGGTATTGTTTAACCAGCAGGTATGTTAAGAGAAGATGACCTGAAATAAGTGCAGGAATTCACCCAGTTGTCCTGGCTGAGATGAACCAGTGACTTAGTGAACTCTCTTGCCCTTTGCCTACTATTAATCCAGAGTCCATGTGCCTTTCTTCAGATGTTTCTGCTAAGACCTTTATGTCTTTTTTATGTTTTGAAGAACTTCCTGGTGCTGTTGGTGTTGGGACTTTTGGGTGAAGTGGACCTTTCTACCCTATTTCTTCAGGTTACCATTCTTGTGTGTTTACGATGGTCATGTTGCATTAGAGAGTGTGTGTGTGTGACAGTGCTAAATCCACAGCTCCAGTGTTGTCTTCATATGATAACAATCTCCTCATGTCAGAGTCTACTCCACATACTCCACAGTATCATGATATCCACGTGACCTGAAGTGTATTAGGATCTCCTTACAGACAGCATGTAATGCTGTATTCTCTCCAGGGTTTTCTCCCCCCCTCCCCTTCCCCTCCCACCTCCACTTAGGAATCACAAGAGTTTAAAATGGTGCTGAGGAAAGACATATGTTTTTAAAAGTAGAAGCATTGCAGGACCACTGTAAAACATACAACAGAAAAAGGAGACCATATTCAATATGATCTTTAATTCCACATGTACTCGGGTTGAAGCTGAGCAACTTCTTTGAAACTGTCAAGGGATTTGAGCATGTGTTCATCAATTAATTAATTCATTTTTTTAAATAGATGTGCTATTTGCAGCAATCCCTGTATTGCAAACCCGAAGCCATACTTTCTCATATCATACAAAATAATGTGGATGAAACATCACTCAGCACATCTAAATGCATGCTTATATATGTCATCATCATGCATATAGTCACACATCTGTTTTTCTCTTACTTTCAGAATGATACAGTCTCTTGCCATGGCTGTGTGCTTTTTACATTAATTTAAACAAGTGAAATCAGATAATGTATATTCTACTGCACATAGGATATATCCTTTTATTTTCCCATTTCCTTTAGACAGCAATAATGAAAATTGATGTTTTGAAATTGAGAATGTCATTAGCAAAAAAAAAAACCTTAATGCTGACGTGCAGAACTGGTCTAGCAGTAAAGTGTATCTGATCCAAGGCATCATCAATAGCTCTCTAATTATGATGACAATACAAGAATACAAGCTTACCTTAGCTCAGGAAACTCTTTTTTGCTGTACCCCAGGCAGCTTCCTTTCCTTATTCACTTGAAAAGGAAAAATCCACTTGAATACAGAAAAATAAATACTAGAAGAGTGAGGGATTTAAGGATTCCTCATCCAAGCTGCTGATCCACTTGGTTTTAGCAAATTGCAAAAACCTCTATCCAGTAGTAGCTCAGGGCGACTTTCCTCTCCTCGTGTGTTCTGTGGGCTGAGAATCTGCAAGAATAGACCTGAGGAGACGGTGCTGCAAGAGAGAGACAGCAGGGGGACCTTGGCACGGAGTTGGACCAAACTCTAAATATAGCCCAACCCACTTTCCGTGCAGTTCTCTTCATACTCTGAAGGCAGATGACCTTGTCAGAAAACTGACCTCCCAGCATGTCACTCTCTACAAAGAGAGGATCTAAGGGAGCAGGACTGCAGCATAAAAGGACAGAAAAGCAATCAACCATCTGCTTGCAGCAAATGAATGTAGGTATGAACTCTATTTTTATGGCAGTTGCAACTGATCAAAACCTAATGTGCTTTATTTGATCATTTAGACAAATGAGCCTCATGCCAGTTCAAAAAAGACCTGTACAGATGAGAGATTGCATTGTAATTGCTAGTCTTAAAGAGCACTGACATAGATGGAAAGCCTGTCACTTTTCCTTCTCTCAAAAACCGTAACACAGCAAAGTGTGTAGTATTTTCATAAAAGCGTCTGTCTGTAAGAAGTTATCTTTCCTTTCACTTGCTTTTATAGTCTTTTGAAAAGTGAGTTAAATCCGCAAATATATACCACAAAATGTTACCGTATAAATTTGAGATTCTAGGGTAGCTTAAAAGGGCAGTGGAACTTGCAATATCAGAGACCAAACTGCAGAGAAATGTGTAGTATGTGCAGAGGAGGAAGCAAGAGAATAAGAGGTGTAGAAAGATAACCCTTGCGCCTGCTTTTCAACAGATGTTTTATAATCCATGGAATTTGCCACTCTAACTCTATGTAGCAACATGTCAGGGTATTTTGTTCTTAACCTGAAGCAGAATTTAACTTGATATGAGTCAACCTGATACTCTGTCAAATAGGGCCTGATACTGCTATGTCATATGAAGGCTTCTGAATAAAAAAAAGCTGCAGAAATCTGAGCAACTCAAAATGTCTTCTCTCACCTTCTGTGTTAAGACATGTAGGAGAGTTAGGATGAAAGATTGCTTGCAGTATTGTACTTCAGCAGAATACATTTGTTGGTGGGGACATGTATCTAAAAGTATGCTATGTTATATGCATCCATGCAGTTTTCAATATTCAAAGAAAACCTGACAAAACATCAGGACTGTGATAACCTTATACATGGTATAAGTGTATGCCTGCAAAATATGCATGAACCAAAGAGGTATGAATTTTATCAGTGGTCTCTGAAGTAGCCATGTGTATCTATGAACAGTAATTTGGGCTGTTAAGCTTTTGCGAAGTGTGCTTTTTTTTTTAATTAAAGTCTACTGTTTTTGGCAAGTTCCACTGTGTAATTCTATCATGATCTATCATCTCAAAGTCCACAGAGTCAGCCAGACTCTGTGTGTTACCTTCACAACAGGAACTACAGCTGTGAGCCACAGCTGCTTCCCAACATATTGGGAGAACAGTAGAAAATAGGCATCTCCTGTAGTATTAAGGGATACATCACATCTGAGACATACCATTCCTGGGCAAAACTTGCTTGTATTCAGACCTGGGCTATATTAAGTAGTTTTATGGATTTATCCAAGTTGCTTTTTCCTCCCAATTTACCTATTTTGTCTTCATTAAGAAGAATAAGTACCTGGTAGGACTGAATATTGCAACAGATGATGGATGCTGGTGTTTAAAGAAAGGGCGTGGAAAAGGAATGAGTCTGCCTCCAGATGGACATACGTTGAGTGGCATACTAGCACCATGTAAGTAGTGAAATTCAAAATGCACAGGATACTGACATCATCAAATACTGCTTTTGCATGAGTTCTCTGTCCACACCCCCAAGATGATGATGTAGCAGGAAGTCAGGCCCTAGTTTGCACCTAACTTTTCCTGGGCTCATACCCAGCCTTCTTTTGTATCATTTCCTCTGGAATGATACTTATTTCAAGCCAGCCTTGTGGGGTTCTGCCTCGTACAGCCCTACCTTCTATAACTAGTATTTGTGAAGTGATTTTTCTTTTGATTAACACCAAATTTGTAAGCACTCATTTAAAGATCCCGTGGAGCATTTCACAAGGTGAGATATGTGAACCACGATGGTTGATGTGTTTCCAACATGGTCAACAGTATACCGGCTTGCCCCATTCCCCTGCTTTTCAGAGTTGGATAGAGTGTTCTCTCACAAGCATAAACTGTTGCGCACTATTACTGGCATCCTTTTGAGTGGTTTATAAAGTGACTGTAGGTTGTATGATGCCTGGCATCTATCAAGAAGAGAAGCCCTATTTTTAAGGTTAAGTATTTAATTTTATAATATGCATCCAGCAGATTTGTAAACAGCCAAAACCCATGCTACTTACAAACAAATAAAACAGTCCCCCACTTGCCCATCTCTAGAAATGCTTTTAAATTGCATTTTGAGACTTAAGGAGGTTATCAGATAGGTTTTGAGAGAAAAAAAAGGGGAAACGAGGAGACTGCAGTGACATGTGGCTGTCATCTGAACCTTCAGTCATGGTGTCACTGGTGAAGGGTACTAGAGCAAACACAGAACTTATTTGCACTCTGTGCTGGTGTATTGTTGTATCTTCAGGCTGTGGTTGCTCTTGATTGGCAGGCCCATATTGAAGAAATTAAGTTGGATGGCAAACAGTAAAAGGTCCTATCATATTCCTGACATGTGAATTCTTTGTATTTGCCCTTTATGTTACCATGGGTTTTAGAACTACAGTGACTAAGAATGTTGAGTTCTCTCTTCTTATTTTGGTGATGCCGTTATTCCTTGTGTGAGGTAGTGAAAAAGACAAATTATGAATAGGGCTGGGTTGTAGCTGTACCACAAGCTGTACTACAAGACTACTAGTATTTTGTCTTTTGGTTCACTTCCAGTCAGCAAGTTAAGATGTGTCGCAAGTGAGTATGGAAGTACTCATTTTGCATATTAAAGAGAAAGTGTTAAACCTAAGAGCGAAAGTTGTTAGAAATGTTCTGTGGGAGATCCTTTGTGTGGCAAGATAGCTATGTATGTGTGCTGAAAGACTTTTATCATATCAGAGCGTAGTGAAAATTAATTTGAGATTGCTCATTAAGACCTGTTCGTTTTTTCTTGAACAGGCAGTGATTTTAATTTAAATTGCCATTCAGTGAAAGGAAGAGGAACCTAAACTGAATATCCTGTCACCAGTTTTATCAGGGGAAAAAAAGTTTGTGGTAGAAGTGCCTTCTGAACTGCCCAGGGAAGGGGTTTACATTTTGTAAGAATGTTATCTTTGTAGTACAAGCTGTTGCCAGTACTTAGAAGCTATTATAGGGAATTCATATAGACTGTTAGAAAGAAACTCTGGTTTGGCACACAGTTGGATGGAGTAGGAAGGACCTTATGCTGTCTGAATGTTACCTAGTGGAAAAAAATTGAAGTGCTTTTGATTCTTTGATAGGACTGAGTCTGTTTCTGCTCAGTTCCATATCATATGCCCTTCAGGTATGCCTCACAAATATGCTTTAAAGTACCTTTTTTTACAGTACATTGTCAGGTAGTGTCTGCAGTTCAAGGCATCCTCGCAGATACGAAAACTTACTGTTGTGCTGGAATAGACCTGTTCTGGGCATGGAGTCTTTAGTTCATAGAGGTGGGAAGGGAGAACAGTGCTCATACAGTGGGGGACCCTGGCTGGTTTGGGATGGTGGAATACTAGCACCAGGTGTAATTACCATAGAGTTTATTTGAGCCCAGAGCTCTGTGTTGCAGTAGACTGATAGGGAAGGTCAACAAAGGAATGGTAAATAACTGGTAGTTGCTTTACATGCAGCTTCTTACATCCTAGTAACAATAAGAGATACCAGTTCATTCACAGTTTTTAGTTCAGAATGGTCAAAACACACAAGTATTTTAAGGCCTTACAAGTGAAGGCACTTAATTTGATTCATGACCCCAGTGAGAAAAATATGAAAACTTCATCAGTCTTTTAAAACTGGAATTGCAAAACCTAAAATACTAAAATATTAAAAAAAAAAAAAAGGAAGGAAATGTCTTCATTGATTTTTCAGCCAGCACTCCATGCTTAGCCATGTTGCCATTCTTCCTTCCATCAAAGATTTTTCATCTCCTGTGTATGTTACATTACTGATTTCTAGGACTAAATCTTGGTTTACGATATTGTTCACAATGATTAGCTAACCCTTATTTAAGGAGGTATGGGATGGGTTTGGTGGCTTTTTCTGTAATTTCATCTGGATTTCTCAGTCATGCCACTGCAGGTGATGCATGCCTGTGAGAAGGAGAATTATATCTTTCATGAGGTGCCAGCAGACCCTTTCTAATTCAGGCAGAGCAATTTGAGAAATGAAGAGAGTGCTGACACTGTTGTAACTATTTTTGATGCAATGTTTATGTGGTGATCTTCCCAAAGGACAAATTACTTTTGTAACTAACTTTTTACCTCATTTACTAGGAATTTCTAAAGTATTATCATGATGAATATCTAGGAACTGATCTGAAGAACCATATTTGTATTCTTAGCTATTCCATGTGGCTGGTCTGGAGGCATCTAAAAAAGCTTCATAGATATTGCTTGGCTAGTTGGCTTTACACCATAGGCTTCAAGGTATCTCAGCTATTATTAGGCTTCTCAACAGGACAGTTGAAAGCAGTCCATTGCCTACAGTGAGGAAATTGAGTATTGCCCTGGTAGACATGTAAGAGATCCTCCTTTTGGGATTAGCAGTGCTGGTGACACAAAGCTGAGTAATTTGGGATCCCTCCAGGAGGTGTTTGAGCTGCTGCTTGCTTATTGCTGCTGTGCCTGACTGGCCTCTGTACCTGCTTCTCCCACTGCTATGCAGAACCTTTCCCTTTTGTCAGGGAAATAGTTGAGCTTGGAATGCTTTAAAATATTTAAAATGTTACATCCAGGCTTGTTTCATTAAAACACCTCATCTGTTCCTTCTGGTACTGGTGGGAAGCATGGAAGGACCCACCTGAACTTTGTGTTTCCTGCTGCCTGGAGGGGTGATACCGTGGTGGTATGTTAAAATACTGTCATTGGTGGTTTTAGCCCAGTTACTGTGATCAGCACAAACGTGAAGGCTAGAAGAGGCCTCTCAACTGAGCAAGGATGAACAGGGACCTGGGAGCCAGTTTTGCTGACAGCTGTCACTTTACAGAAATTGGTTGACCTTGTACTCTATGTACCTGATGGGACATTCAGGGAAGATGCAATGAGAAAAATTCAAAGTAGTGCATTGACATTAAGATTACTTAATCTGATTCACTGAAGACTTAGGCCAGTTTTTAATGGCAAAACCATGAGAATAATAAGGAATTCTCAGACTTCAATTTTATTCTTTTCTCTGACCTCCTCTCTGCCTCTCTCCTCCTTTCCTCCATAAGAAATCTAAAATGGCAATTGAAAAGAAGCTCGAGATGTGCTCAACACATTTGGCTTGGCATTTTACTCAGCATCAAATATTTTTCAATCTGCTGAATTTAAAGCTGGAAGCCCTGAGAAATATTTTCCCACCAGATGAATGAGCACAGATCACTACTGCTTAACCAACCAATAAATAAAAACATAGCCTAAAAAGCAGCCTGTGAAATTAGTCAGTCATAGCACACCCAAATTGAATGAGCTGTGTCCTCCTACAGAATAATGACAAGCATGTAGTTTCCTATAACATATCTGAAACAAGAAACAGAGTGTAACAAATATAAAACCTATAAAATCACAGAATAGTTTGGGTGGAAGGGACCGCAGGCAGGGACACCTTCCACTAGACTGAAAGCCCCATCTAACCTGGCTTGAACACTGCCAGTGATGGGGCAGCCACAGCTTCTCCAGGCAACCCGTGCCGGCGCCTCACGACCCTCTCACAGTAAAGAATTTCTTCTTTATACCTAACCTAAATCCATGCTCTTTCAATTTAAAGCCATTATACTTTGTCTTATCATGACATCCCCTTGTAAGAAGTCCCTCTCCAGCATTCTTGTAGGTCCCCTTTCCACAGCTTACAGGGCTTTTTTGTTAAAAATCAGGAAACACAGGCTTTATTTAAAGTCTAGTTTCAGATATGAGGCAATTAGAACAGTCAGAGGAGGATGGAAGTCGGGGGGG